ATAACCATTCGTGGGAAAATATTTGACCCAAATACTGCTTGCTCCTCTGTGACATGGGTCATAATTCTATCACAGTGAGCTATTCCCTTTCTCAACTACTGAGAAAGCCAATCTACTCACTCAAAAAACACACATAAACTCTGTTAGTTCTTCTTAGACTAAACTTTGAGCATGCATTTGTTCTGTTTCCTTTTTTTATTTCTAGTTTTAGAAAGAACTCTTCTACCTCTCTATTCAACAGAGTATCTGGTCCTAAAGCTTGTGTGTTAGTCAGGAAAAGTCAGAATGGCTGTAATTCTGATAATAAATTTCTCTAGTTCTCACTGGTCGATGAATTTTTGGGACAATCTAAGAAGTTGCACGGATGATTGACAAGATGGAATCATTTCTATGTTCATTTGACTTAGATGGTTCAGATGGAAACTTCTCATATCCTTTCTCTTTGGTATCTATATATCAGGTTTATACAGCAAAATTTATATTCAGCAATGTTGTAAGGGCAAAAAGATCTCTGTGACATATTTTCCCCATGTTTTGATAAGGTCTCCTTTACATCTCTCTGGAAAAACTTAACGTTCCCAAACATTTCTTTGTGAAGATCCCATCTGACTCTTGAAATGACTTCATGCTCCAGGGGAAGGGGTTCAGGATAAAGGTAACATTCTGACAATTATAATTTGGTATTCTGACTCCTTCATTGAAGAAAATCCACTCCAAGACATAAAGTATGTTCTTTTAATGACCATATTAATTTCATTATCTTTTAAAGTTATGTCTTTTTAAAAAATGAGCTAGAAATGTCTGCCAAATTTTTTGTGGAACACAGGTTCAATGTCTAAAGTAATTCTGGAGGGAAATTAGTGTTGCCTACCTACAGTGTCAATTGCCTGAAGTTTCATGAAGAGTTGTGCTACAGTCACAAATTTTGCTTTAGATAGACTGAATGAGAGTTTGAGGCCACTGATAATTTCAACAATTCTTTGAAAAAAGAAATATGCAATTAGCAAAGACTACCTGAGTCAACGCAGGGAAGCCTGATTAAAGTGGAATATTTCTGGTAGAATATATCTTTAGAATCACAGAGATAATAATTGGAAATAAAATAGTTGCTTCTAACTTAAAAATTTTTTAAACTTGATCACTGTAAGAAAGAGCATAGAGAACGGTTCTCCCAGCGTAACAGGAGAATCATTCTGTTTGGGTACAACTAAGTTCAATTATACTATTTTATTAGTGTCCTGAGATGATATCTGGTAAAATAGTTAACATGGGTGTTGTAAAAATGGATAGAACAAGAAAATAAAGTCTTTAGGTTCCCTATGTAATAGTAAGAACACTATGAAGTTATTCTGTATCTGTTCTATCTACTGCACAGTTAGTGTAAAAAACAAGTCTCTTAAAAACAATTCAAGCCATATATATACTAGGTGAAACAAATTTATTCAGCATAAGAAAGTTCTGAAACCACAATTTGTAAAATCATCCAAGAAAGTTGTATTAGAGCAATAATAGACATGCACTTATATATGTTTCAAAGAATAATTTGTGTGCCCAATTGAATATATCCAGGACATGCTATAATAACTATTTTCTTAGCTAAAATATGAAGTATTACCAATTTGACAGATTAAAAATTATGCTTTCCTTACATTCAAAAATGGTGTTACTAACATCGGCCACGTTTTGGTGCTGATTTTTCATTTATAGGATTAAATGTTGCAGCGATTTTTTTAAACCAAGGCCATTTATGATTAGTGTTAATACATTTTTCACAATGTTTTACTTTAGTGTACAGCACAATGCTTTTCAAAGTTATGGTAACTGTAAAATATGACCATATGGTTGTAGCATAATCACATTTCCATTAACCCATGGAGCTAATTTGCCCCAATATAACATTTTTATGATTTTCCTAATTGAAAATCAAACCCTAGGCATCCTACCTATTATCCTTGAAACAGAAACCAATTCTTGCTTTTTCTTCATCTTGATTTGCTAACATGACATCATAAAATATCTTGGCTTGTTGGCTTATATACTCACCTGTATAAAAAATATAGCTCCGGAGCTATAGTACTTGTTAGTTCTCTGTTCTTACCTCTGTAGCCACTGACCATACTGCAGTAACAAGCCTAAATCTTGGATTCTTGCCTTACTTCACATGAAATCATTGCCATAATTTTCCTCAAATATGATAATCCTTGTACTCTTCTATTTAAGATTGGTTGGTAACTGCCTATGCCTGTTAAACTTGCATCTCTTATCTTACAAGTTAACATTCTCCCATCCTCTGACCCTTTCTCTCAGCATTCCCATTTCATCCTGCTCTGTGGCACAGTCTGTCTGCAACTTCTAAGCCATCTGGTTATTATTAGCATATGGGGTTTACTTCTAGCTACTGCCTTGCCTCTGCAGATGACACCCTTGAAGCACTGGGAATCCAATGCTTCCTGAGGTAGCCCACTCTGTCTTTGAATAGGTCTGTTGAAAGTTTTTTTTCTTTCCCATATAAATCATAGAAATTAACTATACGATTTTGACATTTGTCTTTATGTGTATGTGTGTACTTCAGAAAGTTTGTGAAAAGTAGGATTTGTTTGTTTTAATGCAAAAAGAGCACCTTGAAATCCATGAGTACAAAGGGTCTTCAAAAAGTTCATGGAAATGCATTTTATGAAAAAACTGTGAGGATTTAAAACTTTTCATTTAATTCCACTTTCCATGAATATTTATTGTCTCGTCATATGCCAGTCCAAGAAGGTCTTATTTCTTCATTGTTTTGAATATGTGTGTTATATCTACAGTGCTGCTTTGTCTAAACTGAAGATAGGACCTCTGCATCTGGCACTTCCACGTTTCCGTGCTGTGATCCACCTCCCTCCACCTTAGATCCACAACAATGTTAGCTCCAGCTTTGGGCATAGCACATGTGCAATACATGTTTGATGGCTAGGCAAAATTCTAATTATAGAATGACTTATACATGCAAGTATATACACTTATCAAAGGATAATAAATGATTCTGTTGATTTTAATTGTAAAGACGGAAGGCAAGCCTGATCCTTTGCATACTCATCCACACATACAGCAAAATGCCTAAACATTACCAATTGTTTCAGAAAATACTACATGTTATACAGTTATCTATAATTGGTTAATGGAGAAAATGTTACATAGTGTGGAGATCTACCCAGCCTTTAAATGGCTTTGTTTTCTATGTATGTAATGTACCACTATTTTCCAGATCATGGAGCAACTGGCTGATTTATTTCTACATGTGCAGTTTCATAAAATGCAGGAAAATATTAATAGTTTTATCTGTGTTTATAATGTGAATATGAGAAAATACCTTAGCGTTGCTAATCCAAAAACACAATTGTCATTTTCAAATCATCTATATAGCCTGGATGACCTTGCCTTTTAAACTATTTCCAAAATTATTTCTCTAACAATTATAATTGGATTTCCTGTGGTGCTATTTTAATCATTATAATCAGCCACAGCCTACAATTAGATTTTAATCAGAACCTTTAATTTTTTTTAGTAAACTGTAAGTAGACAATTATAAATATGTTATCTGTATCTGGGTTTCTTCTCCTGATCTCCCTCTATTCCACCCAAGAGGCACTAAAACCAAGTGTGATAACGGATCATGAAGAGTACAGATTGTTTTTCATTTGTCCCATATAATATGAAAATATTGTCCAGAAGCAGGTATGTAGAGTTATCAATTGGTGTCTGATATAAAGATAAACATAGAGTGATAGCATCTTCACTAAGGCTGTTATTTATTTTGTGAACAATAAACACTAACTTATTTGTGGAGTGTCTTTTTAGGGTTAAAAGTTCACTTTCTGGTCCTGCAGCAGATGGAAGGTCTAGGGCATGGCTGGCTTGGGTTATGATGCATGGCACAAGTGTGGAGGAACAAAGGGCAGGGCTTGCCTGCAGCCCACATGAATGGATTGTGCTGCTCTGAAGTCCAGAATTATCAACAGCGAATTGTTCTTTTTTAGTTCTTATTATTGGTATATCTCTTTGAAGCCCATTTTTATACCTATCCATTAATCATTTATGTAAGTTTAGTAGGCACAATGCATGAGGCTCAGAGCTAATTATGCATTCTATTATGCCTTTAGATATCTGGATGAAAGTCATGTTCCAACACTCAATCCCTACCCTAAAACTCATTTCCACAAGTGATGATTTAATGATCTATTGACTTTAAAGTTTTGCCTTTGGCCACAATGATTATCCTAGTTAGCTCCACTTGAAAGAATAGACTTTTACTTCATGGAATCTGCAAGAAATTAGAAAAATCAGTGTGGGCTTTGGAAACACATTTAACAAAGAATTTGTTGAAAATGATATTTTGGCTGTCCCTAAGTAGAAATGATCCCCATAATATCTAGGCAGAGTTTAAGAGCCATAGCATCCATAGTTCTCAAATTTCATTGATTAAACATGGGAACAAACCAGCTGTGGAAGTAAGTAATGTGTATGAGGGCACATTGCAGCTTCATTTCTCAATTCTAAATTCAGTATGTATGCACAATAAAAGAATGACTAAAAATGATACTATTCTTAACTGTGATGGTTGTGAATCAATTTTTCCTGATCAATTTTGTTGTTGTGTCATTCATAGCCAATCTGTCACATTATATATATAACTAGCTAGCTATAAATGAAAATATTAGTTTCACATATACCTCTCAACTGATCTCTTAGTGTTTTTTTACTCTACAGTTTTGGAAAACACCATTCTTCAGTGATAACATCTATAGTTCCTAGGTACAGGATATACTATGTCCCTATGTTACTAACAGCAGAGTGCAGTATTTTGCAAGCAGAGGTGCCTTTGTGATTTGATTTATATTAATTTCGGCTAGACTGTGCTTTTTTTGCATCCTTATTATATGCTTCAATCAGGATGTATACAAAAACTCTGCTGCTATAAACCCTACATTAATATTTTCTAAAACATAAGTCAACAACACTACTTTGACTGAGTTCTTGATTTAGTGAGAACAATGCAAAGTGGATTTCAGGTAAGGAGGGCTGACTCCATCTAGATGTCAGTGTCCACCCCAGAGCCACATTTGCGACAGAAGATTTCCATGTTCTGGGTCAGGAAGCCTTCACCCACCAAGGAAGTGGAACACTTTCCACAGTTGAAACATTCACTATGCCACTGGCGGTCTTGAAAGCAGATGAACTTGGCACCTCTGAGACCTGTGAAGGAATTGGAGAAAAACAGTTATCTGTTCTTTCCAAAAATAGGTTGAGTGTTGGATAACATACTCTTTTAGGAACTGGGGGTTATAGCAGTGAATAAAACAATGTTGAATGCTGATTCCATGTTCCTGTATCCAACTGCTCATGTTAGCCGTAGGAAAGTTTCTCCTGTATGACTCAACCAGACACCCAGCCCAATGATGTCATAATCTACTGTAGTAAATATAATCTAGATATACAAACCACATATTTTTGGAAACTGATAAGGATTGTCTAAGACAAAGAAGTGCAGCATAGTGAAATTGGAAGAGGTTATAGATTTTGAAATCAGAGCTATCTAGATATAAATATGGGTCCCTTTTCTCTTTGATCCAAAATTTTCTTAGCTGCAAAATAAAGATAAAAAGAAATAAATGTACACTTTGTAACCTAGTGTCTGATGGTCTAATGACTTTCAGTTTTATTTGTTTTTGCCTAATTTCTCCATGCTACATTTATTTAGAGTAAGTTTTATGGTCATACTGCCATTTGCATGCAAGAGACAACTTCAGGTTGGGGTTGCAACAAAGATCTCTGAATCTGGTCACTGCCCCCTGGAGGGTGTCTAGTTTCTAAGAAGAGCCTCATTAGCCCTTACCACTTTCACTTGGGCCTCACTGAAGTCATCATATTTCTAAAAAGAAACACAGAATTTGTGTCTTCAGTGAAACTGGCTTCTCGCTCCCCTATATAATTCTGGGGTGCAGTTCAAGAAACTAATTTAAAGAAGTTGTTTAAAAAGAGAAAAGATCTTAAGGGTCAGGGAAAGGTTTGGATTCCCTGGACTTGGGTCTTCATTCATTTGGGAAGTTTTTTCCAGTGATCACAGAGATAGGACTTAATGTGGTATGTCTATCATTCATGGCGTGAGGCTGAAATAGTGCACATGGTGATTCACAAATAAATTCCAAATCCCCTGTTTAGAATGCTGAGCACAAACTTTCTATTTCAGATAAAATCTCCATGAATATGATAATGAACATTTGTTTCTATTCTAAAATTCTTATCTGATGTCTTTACATATAATTTAGTAGTTCATCAGAAAATTTGCATCAAATCCCTACTTTTGTTGATTAAATTTATAGCTTGATTATCTATGATGCCATCAACATCACTTTCTAATAAGAGTAAATCAATAGTGTATCAGTTAATTCCCTTAATATTATTCAAAACATTAGTAAGCTGACTGCAAGAGTGATGTTCTATATATCCCAAAATTATCTCTGTTCATCAAGCTAATTATTACATGTCTAGCATTTTGATGCTCATGGGTTTTCCTTGATTTTATTAGCAGGCTTTGTACAGTGGAAAATGTAAAAGTAATTCTAGAGTTTTAGAAAGAATAAAATAGAAGCATCTGACAGCAGGGCTTTAAGAAAAACTTGACCCGGTATGTGAAATATTTGTAAATCATTCTAAATTTGGACTTGTTTACTCCTTTAAGTCTTGAGAATCATCTAGCAAAAAAAGTGCCTGGTACCTGTTTTATTTTGTTTCTAACAAGTCAGCAGACTAAGAACTGGCATTTGTCGAGCACGTGAAGTATGCCAGTCACTATTCTAAGCGGTTTATACGTACTACCTCATATAACCCTCAACTTGCTTCACAGGGCAGACATTTGCAGCATCTCATATTTGCTGATAAAAACTGAACAGAAAATTCAACCATTGCCCAAAGTCACTCAGTTGGTAAATGGCAGATAGGATGTTCAAGCTCCAGGCTGTCTGGCTTCAAAGTCCATGCTGTTAAATTCACAAAATGAAGTTTGACTGCATCATATATAAAGGACATGGCTAGGGACATTAGCATTTCCCCCTGTAGAAACTTTAACATTTGAATCTCCTGTTTCTCAAAGTAAGCATAGATTGAAGAAAGCTAAAATATGACCCTGGTCAACTCCTCATTTTGCAAATAAAACAAACAAGGACTTTTAAAGATGAGTTATCGCCCTGGGATCACACAGGAGTCAGAGGCCAAGAGAAGAGTAAGGTTTTCATGCCCGGTCCAGAGCAATTTCCATTACACCAAGCAGCTTACTTTATCCCAGGTAGTTTGAGAGGTTAATTCATGTTCAAGGAGGAGGAAAATAAATTATAGTTACAACTGGGGTTTGTTCAAATGAAGTAAGCTCATTGTGATAGGATTTAAAAATTATGACTAGTGGCTGGTAGGTAGATTTAATTTTGTAAACATCCTAACAATTAACTTCTTTTTAAAATTAATTTTAATAGACAAAATTTGCTCATATTTATGGTGTGCAATGATGTTTTGAGATATGTTATTTGTGGCATGGCTATATCACACTATTTAATATAAGTACTACCTTATTTGTGTTTTTTTGTAGTGAGAACATTTAATATTAGTAATTTGTAAGTATTCTATAATAACACATTGTTATTAACTATGGTCAATATGTTATACAATGGATCTTGTGAACTCTTTCCTCCTTTCTAACCATAATTTTGTATCTTTTGACTGGGAACATATAGCTTCTTAAGGTGACATAATGTTTGCATGAATGCCTAACTTTCTGAAGATAAATATGCAGCAACATCAGAATCTTCCATGGTACATTAATTCAAATAGCTCAAGTTTCATGTCAGCACTACTGCATAACCTATATACTTAACAATCACATCAAGAAATATTAAAGTGAGTTAGAAATTTCTGCAGGCATTTCAGTCTCTAGTGTCACAATCACAGAGCCAAAAAGAAGATTAAGATAATTATTAAAAATTCCCTTTAGTCTGACTGTTCTAACTTAAATACAGAATACTGCATTTGGATTACTTTTGAGTAAATGTTTTGTTCTTTATCATCTGTGTGTTTTGGGTAGAACAACATTGTTTTTCTGTCTGAACCTGTCAATCACGGATTGATCTGGAACAATCCATCAGGAAAATCACTTAGAAACATGAAATGGTGATGGGTCAGAACAAAAACTCATCAAATTCAGGGCTGTGTGAGTACCTGAGATCAGTATTAGCCAATTGGGTCCCCAGAGAACTTTGACATCCATGTTAAGTAGTTTAATTTTCTCATTTCCTCATTGAAGTACCACCCCCATTCCTCTAAATAATCCAGTTTTAGAACAGTGAAGAACAAATTGACTGTGATTACAGCTTCTACTAAGGACATTTGGAGCTCCAGTAACTGTTGTATCTAAGGAAGTCCCGCTGTCTACCTAGAATCAGTAGAGCTGGTAGCCTGTTCCCTTGGCTGTAGAAGTTGCTGGCTGTGTGGAAGGCAGAAAAGCAGACAGCTCTTCAGGAGCACATGCCCCGGAGCCCAAGGGTGAGACTGCTAATGCAAGTCTTACAGTGCTGGGGAGGTGACATAGCTGGGTGACAGGGACAGGGTATGGAGAAGAGAGAGTATGCCTCACACGACAGGGCAGCCTCTGAGTTCCACATGATGATTTCTCTTTTTGGGGAACATGGATGCAACTGGCTCACCCATGGCAAACTCTTCATTACTTTTTGCTTCAGCAATAAGTTTTTATTTTTTTATTTTTATTTTTGACAGAGTTAGACAGTGAGAGAGAGAGAGACAGAGAGAGAGAGGTCTTCCATCTGCTGGTTCACCCCCCAAATGGCCGCTACGGCTGGTGCTGCACCAATCCGAAGCCAGGAGCCAGGTGCCTCCTCCTATTCTCCAAAGCGGGTGCAGGGCCCAAGGACTGGGGCCATCCTCCACTGCCTTCCCGGGCCACAGCATCAGCAATGGGTTTCAACATTGGTTAAAAAATGTGTGAGCCAAACATAACCTGCTGGCTGGCCAGGGACAACTGGTGGGCAATTGTGATATTCTAACAAACGTGGTGCCCTTCTATGACAAGTGGGGACTTGCTTTTATGGGTGAATGCCTCCCACCCTCCCTCCTTACGTAAGTCAGTGAAAATCTGCCAAAGTGGGATGTCTCTTTCATTGGAAGGTGCAATAAGATTCAACTTTCATTTTGTTATTTATTTGAAGATGAAGGAGGAGGAAAGGGCTAAAATAATGTATAATTCTGTGTTACATAAGTTGAACTAAAAATGCAATATGAACAAAGGGTATCAGGAATGTTGAAAGAAATAGAGTTCTTTCACGTTATTAACGAAGTCTGCAAATTGAAAGTGTAGCTGCTGCATTTCTCAGGTGTCTGGCTGGCTTCAGTTCTTTTACCATAGAGATAGTACTTCAGAGTTTCCCAGAGGGAAATGTAATGCATTGTGTTACACCTGGAAAACCTATTTAATATGGATCAATATACCACTTGTGTTATTTTCAAATCATGTCCTAAGTATTTTGTCTCTCAATAGAATGTTATCTTGTTTTCTTTCATCCACTCATAAGTAAAACTTTTTACAAGTTAATAGAGAAAAATGAGAATGATTCTTTTGTTAGAAAGATCTTTAAATGAAGTTCAATTAATTCTTGACCTATGCTACCCTAATTATTTCAGCTTCAGATATTTTATAGAATACTTGCAGTTAATTAAAATCTTTTATATTTTGGGCCGGCGCCGCGGCTCAATAGGCTAATCCTCCGCCTAGCGGCGCCGGCACACCGGGTTCTAGTCCCGGTTGGGGCGCCGGATTCTGTCCCGGTTGCCCCTCTTCCAGGCCAGCCCTCTGCTGTGGCCAGGGAGTCAGTAGATGATCACCCAGGGTCTTGGCCCCTGCATCCCATGGTCGACAGAAAAGCACCTGCTCCTGCTCCTGCATCGGATCAGCGCGGTGCGCCGGCCGCAGCGCGCCGGCCGCGGTGGCCATTGGAGGGTGAACCAACGGCAAAGGAAGACCTTTCTCTCTGTCTCTCTCTCTCACTGTCCACTCTGCCTGTCAAAAAAAAAATAAAAAAAAAAAACTTTTATATTTTATGTTGACTTGGCCCTTGTTTGGAATTCAACAGGAATCTGGTTTATTAGTTCCCTGTCCATCTACTCAAATCCTTTTTATTTTTTTCATTTCAATTGAAAGGCTGACAGACAAAAACAGAGGAAGATCTCCCATCTTCTGTTCTATTCTCCCAAATGCCCACAACACCTGGGACTGGGCCAGACTGAGCCAGGAGCTAAGAATTCAGTCCAGGTCTCCTCTGTAGCGGGCAAGGACCAAAGTAGTTGAGCCACCACTTGCTGCCTCCAAGGGTATGCATTAACAGGAAGCCGGAATCAGAAGGAAAGACAGGCACTCCAGGTTGAGATGCAAGTATCCCAAGTGGCTAGTGTGCTAAACACCAGCTTCCACCCAAATCTTTAAATAAGGCTTAGATTAGGCTTTCTTGTTAAGGTTTTCTCTGATCTGAACTCATTTTGTGCTCTTTTCTTAAACTATCAACTTTATAGATTCTGTACCATTAGGTTTAATATTTAATTCTTCACAGAATATAGCTACCCTTTCCCTGAGAAGTTTATGAAATATTTACATTTATAGATGGGTAGTCATTTGTATTTACCTCAAAAGGAAATGTAAACCAAAGATTCCTCTTTTTTCCACTTGGATTTCTTAAATCAACCGGAGAGTATTTTACAAAATCATAGCGGTCTTGTGTTAGGACCATACTGGACTGAAGAACTTACCAGTAATGGGTTTGGTGCAGGCAGCACATCTTTTGGCATAAAGATGAGTGTAGCAGTCCAAGCAGAACGGATAATCATCTCTAGACATAAACTCTTCTTCACAGAGCTCTTTCCGGCAGCCACTACACAGAAAACACTCTCTATGCCACAGTTGGTCACGAAAAGTTATCCCACCCGAAGTTATCACCTGCCAAAGAACCATAAAATAGGAAATGACCATGGGAGCCACCACAATTCAAAGCACTCTATTCTATGTTTACAATTGATGCTTAGGGCTGCCCCTTTAGAGATGAATAACTACTTAGGATTAAAGTCATTGTTACTTGCTGTAGCCTCAAAGAGCCAGCATTCAAACCTGTGCAATCTAACTCCACAACCTGTGTGTTTAACATTAATACAATGCTGGGTGTCAAGGTTACCTTGCATGAATTATCAATTAATAAGTCATTATTGAATGAATAAGTATCTAGGGGGAAAACATCTTTGGCACACAATTCAAATATCCTATCTAGCACAAATGGAGTGCTGTGAGAAGTTGTGTGTACCTGGCTTCAGAACTCAACATAATGAGCACTGGTTGTATGTTAAGCCTTAAACCGACATGATGGAGTTTTACCAGATTTGATTTTTGGCTCTCCCCAAAATAGGCGTCTTTTCTAAATCAGTTTAAAAGGCTGAGAAATTTTTATGTAGAACCAGATGGATAAATATGGGGCAATTCTTCTCTTGCAGCTATTTTTTAACTTACGCCATCTCTCAAATCCATGGCTATTGAGCTCTTGAAGTGTCTGTGGAAACGGTAACATGCTGATGTAAATGTCTTACAATGACTGAAATAACATTATCTCTGAATTGGTTCCAATAATCTTCATATTCAAATTAGCAAGATACAGACAATGCAGAATCTAATTTAAGTCAACTTATTGTTGACAAACTAAAATGTGTCACTGTCAATGATATAAGCTTTTAACAAAATTATTCAAAAAGATATTTAACCTTACAACAAATGGAAGTTAGACATAGTTAATTTAAAGGTTATTTTTCTTAGAGGAAAAATAGTATACTCTCCTGAGTAAGTAAATGAAAAGCATAGTGGTGTGTGTATGAAGTAAAGCAATTTAAAATACCCCCTACTGACTTCAAATGACTTACAGCAGGCACAGCAGAATTCATGATTCCTTTGATTTGTTTGGTCAAATGATTAGCAGGCAATGTTTAAAAGATTAAAAGCTTGAAAAATATATTCACAGCAAAATAAAACTTGGTATATACACCAAAGACTGTTTAATGAGGAAGAAGAAACTCTGGAACATTAAAAATAGTTTGCGTGTGATTATATTCCTTCTGAAGTGGTAGATGGCTAAGACGAAGTCTAATATCTAAGCTTGGTTTTTTGCCACTGATCAATTCTAGGGTTTAGAACAAGTTTCTTTTAGTGCAAAGTAGAGGCAATAATGTTTTTGTGCTAAGTAGATCACAAACGAAGTTTTGAAGAATACATTTAACTCTAATTGAACCCTGAGGAGTTTGAGTTCAAGGCACTTGTGGTTTGAGGTCACATGCTTTTTAGTAGAAAGTAACTTTTAGGGTAACAAAATAAAATCTATGGGAAAGTGTTCTAAAGGCATGTTATCAAATAGTTTTTACTAATCTTTTTCTTTTAATATTTGATATTTGATTTGGATTGAAAAAATTTTTATCATAGAACATCTTGAACAAAAACATTTTATCTAGCATTCCTTAAAGGACTTGTGGTTGTAAAAATTAAATAGAAAGTAATCTGGCATATCATTATCTTTCTACCACACACAAAAAAATTAATAAGTTTTTGATGATTTAAAATGATATTTTAAATGTAGTTACAAGCTCCCATAACCTGGAAAATGCCAGCACTTTGGCCTAGACTGCTCAGCACTGATATACTAGAGAGTTCTCCTCTTGAGTCCTTACATCATTGAAAGAAACGTCGTACCATGTCCAGTAAATTACTTTAGGATAATTTCCATAATTCTCTTTAATATTTTAGTCTGAATCTTTAAAAAATGATGCCCCAAATCAGTAAATTTGGCTGTCTCCCAGTACAGTGAGATAAATATCCTCAAGTTATTTCAAGCATCTGTTTTAAATGTTTACCATTGACTCTGGTATTCAATTCAATGGAGTTTTGTGAATTACAGGGTCATAAAGTCTGAATGTCATTTATAAAGGTATTTTTAAAGTAAATGTATCTTGTAGAGCAATCAAGGTCTTTGGGTATAAGATGATTTCATATCATATCACATTATCAATTATAATCATCAGCCATCATCACATGTTATTTAATAATTATACTTTAGGAAAGTGTTTTAGTGTTCCTTTAAATGCAGTACTGGTATTGCTCAAACATGTAAACAATTATTTAACATGTGTTTGTACATGCATGTGTATTTGTACATGTACCTCTAGGAAGTGGTGAGGAAATTTCCACTTGCCCAAATGAAAATATACAATTGGTCTTAAGATATCTGCCAAAGTATCCATAGACCAAAAATGTTTATAAACCATTGTACTAATCCCCATGTGTTTTCATGATTCAGCTTTCTTATCACAATTTATAGTGTTGCTTTAAACTTATGATGGCTCACAGGTCACAGATTTCTTCAAGAACATCAATATATATTTTATGAAATACAGACAGGCTTCGTCAAGATGACAGGCGTGAGCTACTGTTTCACATAAAAGCTTAGTGGATAAAAAAGAATTGGACAAAGTTTACTTCAAAAGAATAACTTTTTTCCAGTGGGAAAATGTGTTTTGAATGGAAAACCAAGTTTGAAGGCCCTACATTATCCGGTGGGGCTGGAAGTGAAGTGACTTGCAGCTTTTAGTTCTCTTTCTGCTTTATGTCCATATAACTTCCCTCATAATACTGTTATCTCTTGAGCCTACAGATCTACTCTTTGGAAATACAATAGCTTCAAGCCAGGAAGATATGTGCTTAGCTGGAACATAATGTGAGGAGTTAAACATCCTATTTAAATTGGCTTCCTTTGTCATTCTGTAAAGCAAAGTCACATTTCTCTGAAGTGGTTAACACTGACTGGATCAAAAATTGTATTCCAAGAAATATTCTGCATTCAAAGAGAAATGTGTGCCTTCCTCTAGAACAGATGATATCTTCTATAAAAGCAATGAATGGAGCTAGAATATCAAATCAAGTAAGCTGTTTGGAATATTAAATCATATTCTGGGTGAAATGCTATGGTTGAGAAAAATAAATTGCTATCCTTTTTGTGACAGCTAGTGGCTTCTGACATACTAGAATTCAAAACTGGCACAAATGTGTAAAGGCAGACCTGATAGTATGGATCTATTCCAAATATATGGTATAGCTAAAAAGCAATGGTTTGGAAGGTTCTACAAGTTGTATCTTCTGTAGATAATTACCTTCTTACAAAAGTTGCAATACTGAGCAAACTCCTTCTCAAAACAGGGCACACAGTAATTTCCACTCTCTTTGGAGATCAAAGGCTTTGTTCCTATTGGTTGTCTGCAATGCTCACACACAAAGCAGGTTTCATGCCAGTAGTTTCCCTTAAATTCCATTTTGCGGGAACCTGTATTCCAAAAGTTAGTAACCTATTAGTATAAGTCAAGCATAATTAATTTTCTTTAAGAAATCAATTCTCTCAAAATGTGTAGCTTTAATGTTAGGGGCATTAATTGTCCTTATATTTCTAAAAGCTTGCATTTGGGGGAGTTCAGCAATGATGATGGTGAATCCTCTTATTGAAACTACTCAAAATCCCATATAAGCTGTGGTTTGGAAATATGAAAGGGCTTCAAGTAGAGAGGCTGAATGGCTGCTGGAGGTGTAGAAAAATTGGGCCATCATAATTATTCCAGGGATACTAAGAATCCCGAGGGCACAAATCATGAGATGTATATTGTGCAGTTATGGCCTCCTATAGATCCTTTGAATCTTACTGAAAAGCACAAAGAAAAATATATCAAGCAAACAAACAAAACAGGAGGGGGTATGGCTCTTGCTCTTATCATGTTCTTATGCTATTCTTCATAGGGTTGAGAAGAGGATCAACACAGAGAGAATTAATGTTTACTCAAAGTGGAATGATTTGCATGGACCCTCGTCTACCCTGAGAGGAACAATGAATGGCCCTTAACCCCCTTTGTGTTAAGTTACAAAATGATGTTTGATCCAACCTCTTATGATCTTTTTCTTTTTCTTTTAGTCTCTCCTTTCTCTCTCTTTTTTCTTTCTTTCTTTCTTATTTATTTATTTATTTGAAAGGCAGAGTGACAGAGAAAGAGGAAAAGACAGATGTAGATAGAAATCTATCATCTCTATTTCATTCTCCAAATGGCCACTACAGGCATGGCTTTTCTAGACTGAAGCAAGAAGCTTTGAACTCCATCCAGGTCTACCACATGGGTGAGAGTGGGCCATCCTCCACTGTTTTCCTCGTGCATTAGCAGATAGTTGGATTGAAGCAGAACATCCAGGACTCCAACCAGTGCTCTGATATGGGATGCTAGCATTGCAGGCAGAGGTCCAATCCATTGCACCACAATGCCAGCCTCCAGTGAACCATTCTCCCTGATACCATTGGTTATGTCTAGGTCAGGGCATTTGGTATAATGTTACTGGTATGTATTTTATCTTTACTCTGTGGCTCAGGTTCTGGTTTAGAATGTTTCTTTGAATTAGGTTTATCCTGAAGATATCCAAACACTGTAATTTACCTTTTCAAGAATGATGAATGAACAATCTTTCATTTCTTTTTTTTTTTTTTTTGACAGGCAGAGTGGACAGTGAGAGAGAGAGACAGAGAGAAAGGTCTTCCTTTGCCGTTGGTTCACCCTCCAATGGCTGCCGTGGCCGGCGCTGCGACCAGCGCACCGCGCTGATCCGATGGCAGGAGCCAGGAGCCAGGTGCTTTTGCTGGTCTCCCATGGGGTGCAGGGCCCAAGCACCTGGGCCATCCTCCACTGCACTCCCTGGCCACAGCAGAGGGCTGGCCTGGAAGAGGGGCAACTGGGACAGAATCCGGCGCCCCGACCGGGACTAGAACCCGGTGTGCCGGCGCCGCAAGGCGGAGGATTAGCCTAGTGAGCCGCAGCGCCGGCCTACAATCTTTCATTTCTAAAATCTACTAAATGCAATCAAGGAAGAGCAAAAAGGTATCTTTCTCAAACCCACGGTATTGTGGCTGGCACTTAATGAGCAGCCCTGCAGCTACAGTTAGAGACCAGAGGTCCCTTGAGAACTTACCAGGCATGATGGTCCTCTTGCAATGGAAGCACTTAGAGGAGCACTCGTTAGAATAGCACTCTGTGCATAGCAGGCGCTCATCCTTGGCAGCAAAAGGCTTTTCCACCAATGAGTAATTGCATTTGGAGCACTTGAAGCATCCTTCATGCCAGTGCCGGCCTTTGTAACAAAGATCCTTTGAAACAGTAAGTAGAAGCTGATTAAATGTGTTTGTGACAAAACTGGTCATTTTATAAGAAGAGACTGAACACTCCTGGGACTCTAGCACCAGTAGATTATGTTAATGGCTTGAGGGAAAACTGTTACTGATACTGTTACCCATTAAAAGAAGATTCTGGATTATTAAGAATTAGAGCCTAAGGCTTTCTTGGTTGGTCACTAAAGGCACTTGGAAAATAAGCTGACTCTTATTTCTTCAGATTTTCCCAATTTCCTTTTATAAACTTCAAAAAAGTTTTTTCATGCAAGGGCTTTTTATTTTTTGGTTGCAATATTCTATTATTCTTTCAGCTTAACAAGCAAAAATAACACTACCTAACTAAAGCAATGACAAAAAAGGGATATGTAGGAAGGAAGGAGGCATGGAAGGAAGGAAGGTAGGAAGAAAGGAAGGAAGGAAGGAAGGAAGGAAGGAAGGAAGGAAGGCAGGCACATAGAGGAATGGGTGGTATAGGTGGGAGGTATCAGACAGGGTACAATGTGGTTTAGTGTAGATGCTAATTTTTAAGTCAGAAAACACAGACTTTGAATCTTTATACCTTTAATTTTTTAGAACTCTACTTATATCCATACCATTCCAGAAATAGCTTAACCTCTTTAATTGTTAGCATTCTAAACTACCTCATAAGATCACTTTAGGATTCAGATATATGTTGTATTTCAGAGCACTAAGCATAATGGCTGGGACAGTATTAATGGTAACTTCTAAGATTCTTATATCAAGTAGTATAAAAGTAACTAAAGGCAAAGAAGTATTCAAAAGCAATTATCTGTTGCTCACATGTAGTAATTCTGTGAATTGAGGTGAAACATACCTTGGAATCTGATTCAATTGGATCTTTGCACTTCTCACAATAGTTGGAGAAGATACGATCATAACAGGAGACACAGTATGGATTATCATCCTTTAGGACATACTTCTTTCCCAGGAGTGAGGTTGTACAATATTGACAATCAAACTGAGTAGCCATCATTTTGGTTAGATCCTGTAAATAAGAAAACAATTCACGTATGTAAAAAAAAACTTTTGTTTTTAAATGATAAACCCATAATACAATGTGAATGAATCATTTGAATGAATTCATATTTTCCTTAAGCAAAACTCTATTACTTTAGGAAAATATGTTTATAGTCATGGTGATACTTGGAGTGATTTAGTAAAGCCTACTCTAAATCTTGGCTGTTCCTGTGTGTTTTGCTTAAAAAAAATACATCAAGCCAACAGCCAGATTATGAAAAACATCTTGTATTCATCATGAGCTAATGTGAAAGTCAAGGAAAATATGTTATTTGTTGAAATAGCATGGCTTCACCTTAAGAATATGAATATGAACTGTTGATAGGGCTTTTTAAAACTTTTATTTAATAAATATAAATTTCCAAAGTAAAGATTTTGGATTACAGTGGCTCCCCCCCCATAACTTCCCTCCCATCTGCAACACACCCATCTCCTGCTCCCTCTCCCATCCCATTCACATCAAGATTCATTTTCAATTATCTTTATATACAGAAGATCAATTTAGTATAAATTAAGTAAATATTTCAACAGTTTGCACCCACACAGAAACACAAAGTGTAAAGTACTGTTTGAGTACTAGTTATAGCATTAATTCACATAGTACAACATATTAAGGACAGAGATCCTACATGGGGAGTAAGTGCACAGTGACTCCTGTTGTTGATTTAACAATTGACACTCTTGCTTATGGCGTCGTAATCACCCGAGGCTCTTGTTATGGGCTGCCAAGGCTATGGAAGACTTTTGAGTTCACCAACTCTGATTCTCTCCTCCCTTCAGAGAAAGGTACCTCCTTCTTTGATGGCCTGTTCTTTCCACTGGGTTCTCACTTACAGAGATCTTTCATTTAGATTTTTTTTTGCCAGAGTGTCTTGGCTTTCCATGCCTGAGATACTCTCATGGGCTTTTTCGCTGGATCCAAATGCCTTAAGGGCTGATTCTGAGGCCAGAGTGCTATTTAAGACATCTGCCATTCTATGAGTCTGCTGTGTATCCCGCTTCCCATGTTGGATTGTTCTCTCCTTTTAAATTCTATCAGTTAATATTAGCAGAGACTAGTCTTGTTTATGTGATTGATAGGGCTTTTTTTAAAAAAAGATTTATTTATTTATTTGAAAGTCAGAGATACATAGAGAGAGGAGAGGCAGAGAGAGAGAGAGAGAGAGAGAGAAAGAGACAGAGAGAGAGAGAGAGAAAGAGGTAGGTCTTCCATCTGATGGTTCACTCCCCAATTGGCCACAATGGCCGGAGTTGCACTGATCTGAACCCAAGCTTTTTGGGGTCTCCAATGCAGGTGGAGGGGCCCAAGTACTTGGGCCATCTTCCACTGCTCTCCCAGGCCAAAGCAGAGAGCTGGATCAGAAGAGGAGCAGCTGGGTCTTGAACCAGAGCCCATATGGGATGCTGGCACTTCAGGCCAGGGTGCTAACCTGCTGCACCACAGCGCTGGCCCCAATAGGGTTTTTACTGTCATAACACAACTTTGCTGGAGAGTTCTGGAGGGGGAGCTTGAGAGAAATTAAATTCACTTCAATGCAAATAAAATTAATAATTGTGTGCATTATAATTTTCTTCTGCATTCTTTTATTCCTATAATCTTTACTGGGTACTTACTTAGAGCTCTTCACATCAATCCTATATGTCTTTATTTTCCATATACCTCATTTGGGTATCATGTTTTTGCCTGTGGCCTCAATCATCTTAAATATAGTGAGGCTCCAACATTTCTGCTTTTTTATTTTTTATATTTGCTAGCTTGGGTCTTCTGAAAAATTCTGCTTAAATGTTTCACACCAGGCCAACTAAATAAAACTCTTCAGTAGGTAGGATTTAATTCAAATGTTAGTCTTTGTGACTAGTATTGAGAAATTTTCTAAATGTAGAAGTACAGATAAAACAATGAAGGGTAGACAAGTGCTACAGGTTTCTTCAGGCTTTAGGGCTAAAGTAACAGGTAGATAGCATAAAAAATAGCATTAGCATCTTACAGAATAAAAAACCCATATGAAACATAGAGCCAAACCAGAATAAGAATTCTCATTATTTTATAAATTTATGGATGCCATTATGAAACAAAATATATAGACTTCAAATGTCTTAATTAAATATTGTGCATGAACTTTCATTGTTTCCAAAAGCAGTCACATGGATATTCCTTGCAAAGAAGATTTACAATAATTTATTTGAAGCTGCAAATATTTTCTAATCCTCTACTGTAAATTCTTTTAGTTTTAGCAAAAACAGAAAACCAGCTAATTTATATGATGCCTTTTACAGTATTTTTGGTAGCTTGATTTTATTACATTTAACTGTTTTTCTTACGTATTTTGCCTCCTCTATTATCCAGCAGGATGTTTTGCTTAATACACATTGTTGGAGAGGCATCAAGACGGCAGAATAAGGAGGGAGCTTACTGTTCTAGTCTAAGGGAAGATGGTTAAAAAAACCTGGAGGGACTGGAGTCTCAGGGAAAAGTTAGGGGGAAAATGGCAGAGGAAACTCGACGCTAATTAGAAGGACGTGCACAATTTAGGACCCCAGCAGCCAAGAGCCTCAGCATCAGCTTTGGAGAGTGAGGTAAGACCAGACTGCAGCAGCCCAAGCCACTGGCAATAAAGCTGCAGGAAGAGCTTGGCTGGGAGCCCTGTGGGGGACAGTACACCTGCCAACCTAGAGGAAAAAAAAGGGGGCCAATTTTTCTCTCCCCAACCACCCAGCACCAGTATACTGTAGCTAGCTGAGTGGGCAGGCACCATTTTAGACATATGTAACAGCCGTGTCAGCTTCTGTCCATGCCCTCAGCAACCAGCCAGGAGGAGATGCCTGAGTCTGGCTGGGAGAATTGACAGGGGGCTGGGTGCTCCTGACTGTGTGAGTGTACAGGATATATCTGGGTCTTTGGGCAGTCACTCTGGGTGGCTCCACACACTCAGTGCTCCCTGATTCCCTGGTGAGGGTCATTGCTGTGGGATCTTTGCTCAAACTGAGGACTGCACAGATTCTTTGTGTGCAATGAAGATGAATATTGTACTCACTGAGGCTAGCACCCAGGCATTGGTCTTCTTGGAGGAAAGGAGGTGAGGGTGACTATGCCAATAGAGCTGAGCAAGCATCCCCTCTGATTAAAAAAAAAAAAAAAGAAGAAGACTAAGAAGAAATTTGGAAGTCATCTTGGACACTCCCCTCACCCTGGAGCACTGAACAGAGCTCCCTGGCCACACCCAGCATATGCCTCAAGGTATTCACTGAAAGAGCAGACACTTCACGAATCCAGAGACAAAGACCAAACATAAAAGCCATCACAGGAAAAAAATAAACAAGCAAGTATCCCCATAAATGCCTAAAAATAAATGCAGCAATTCAAGAAACAAGAACAAGGAAGACAACATTATGTCCCCAAAGGAACACAATAACACTTCAATACTAAAATGTGAAAATGAAGAGATTGAAGAAATGTCAGGAACAGGATTCAAAAAATTGTTCATAGGATTACTTAGAAGTAATCAGAATCAAATTCATGATCTAAAGAAATACATACATGATATGAAAAAAATTTTCTCATGAAATTGAAATTTGAAAGAGAAATCAAAAGGAAGTATTGGGCCGGCGCCGCGGCTCACTAGGCTAATCCTCTGCCTTGTGGCGCCAGCACACCGGGTTCTAGTCCCGGTTGGGGCGCCGGATTCTGTCCCGGTTGCCCCTCTTCCAGGCCAGCTCTCTGCTGTGGCCAGGGAGTGCAGTGGAGGATGGCCCAAGTGCTTGGGCCCTGCACCCCATGGGAGACCAGGAGAAGTACCTGGCTCCTGCCATCGGATCAGCGCGGTGTGTTGGCTGCAGCGTGCCGGCCGCGGCAGCCATTGAAGGGTGAACCAACGGCGAAAAGGAAGACCTTTCTCTCTGTCTCTCTCTCTCACTGTCCTCTCTGCCTGTCCAAAAAAAAAAAATTAAAAAAAGGAAGTATTGGAAATGAAGAATTCAATAAAACAAATAAAAAATGTGATGGAAAGCCTTAACAACAGAATTGGTGAGGCAGAAATAAGAATATCCAAGTTAGAAGACAAATATCTGGAAATTTTACAGTCAGATGAAGAAAAAGAAATAGAAGAAAAAATTAGAAAACTAAAAAACAATGTTGGAAATCTACTATCAAAATATTCCAAGTCTTGAGAGAAAAAAAACTGTCAACCCAGAATACTGTACCCTATAAAGCTCTTATTTATAAATGAAGGTGAAATAAAGACCTTCCATAACAAACAGAAATTGAAATAATTTGGTACCACTCATCCAGCCTTATAAAAGATACTTAAGAATGGGCTACACACAGAAATGCAGAAACACTATGAAAGAAGGTGAAGATAGAAATTTTCCCAGTAAAGGTACAAAGGAAATCCACAGTAAACAATAGGAATATTTATGGAAAAATGGCAGGGCCATGTCATTACTTATCAATAGTCACCTTGAATGTAAATGGCCTCAACTCTCCAGTTAAAAGTTACAGATTGGTTGAATGGAAAAAGAACAAAAAACCAAAACAACACCCATCTATTTGCTGCCTACAAGAAACACATCTCACCAACAAAGATACACACAAACTGAAAGCGAAAGGATGGAAAAACATATTCCATGATAACAGAAACCAAAAAACTGCTGGTGTAGCCATCCTAATATCAGATAAAATAAACTTTAACACACAAACTGTTAAAAGAGACAAAGAAAACACTGTGTAATGATTAAGGGATCAATTAAACAGGAAGATGTGACTATGATAAATGTATATGCACATAATCACAGAACACCTAGTTATTTAAAAGAAATATTGATGGATCTAAAGGGAGACATAGACTCCCATATAGTATAATGTAGAACTTCAATACCCCACATTCAGCAATGGACAGATCAACCAGACAGAAAATCAGCAAGGAGGGCTGGAGCCGCGGCTCACTAAGCTAATCCTCCACCTGCAGCGCCGGCACCCCAGGTTCTAGTCCCATTAGGTATGCCGGTTCTGTCCTGGTTGCTCCTCTTCCAGTCCAGCTCTCTGCTGTGGCCTGGGCAGGCAGTGGAGGACAGCCCAAGTACTTGGGCCCTGCACCCGCATGGGAGACCAGGAGGAAGCACCTGGCTCCTGACTTCAGATCAGCGCAGCACACTGGCCGTCACAACCATTTTGGGGGTGAACCAACGGAAGGAAGACCTTTCTCTCTGTCTCTGTCTCTGTCTCTCTCTCTCTCTCTCTCTAACTCTGCCTGTCAAAAAAAAGAAAGAAAGAAAGAATGAAAGAAAGAAAGAAAGAATGAAAGAAAGAAAGAAAGAAAGAAAGAAAGAAAGAAAGAAAGAAAAGAAAATCAGCAAGTTAATATAGTTAATCGACACTATAGACCAAATGGACCTAATGGGTATCTACAGAACTTTTCATCCTACAGTAGCAGAATATACATTCTTCTCACCAGTGAATGGAACTTTCTCTAAGATAGGCCACAGGCCAGGCTATAAAGCAAGTCTCAACAAATTCAAAGGAATCGAAATCATACCATGCACCTTCTCAGACCACAGGGGAGTGAAGCTGAAGATCAACAACTTGAGAGTCTTTAGAACACAGCAAACACATGGAGACTGAACAGTATACTCTTGAATGAATAGTGGGTCGTAAAAAAAAATCAAAAGGGAAATTAAAAACTGTTGAAGAACAGTTTTTTTATACTATTTGTTGAAATCTTTCCTTAGTATAAAGTTAATTGATCTTAGATCAAAAATAAATCTTAGCAAAAAATAAGAACGGTTATAGGAGAGAGAAGAGGAAGAAGGGTGGGAGTGAAAGTGGGAGGGTGGATATGATGGGAAGAATCACTATCACTGTGTTCCTAAAGCTGTATTTTTGAAATGCACAAAGTTTGTATACCTTAAATAAAAGGTTTCTGGGGAAAAATACACATTCTTACTCATTCTGTGTATAGCAGTTTCACTGTACTGCTCTTTGCTTATAAGCAGAAAAAAGACAGAGATGTGGAAGATGTGGGTCTTTTCCCAGGATAGATGAAAATTCAGACTAGAAAGTTCCCAATGGAACATGGCCAGAATCGTCCAGCAAGGAACATTGAATTCCCTATCTGATTAATTTCACAGAAATGTCCCTTTCCAGTGAGTACAAACACATTCAAAGGGTTGCTAGATGCCAGAAAAAGCAGGGGAGTAGATCTAATTCCCTTGAAAGGTTTTAAATGCCTCTTCCACATTTACACATTTACTGTGATCAAGTGTTTATCTTTTAATAGTGAAATAAGGTAAGCATCTTTAACACTCATTGCTGAATATGAAAGATGTCATTTTCATTGTTAATAATGTATATAGCCTTAGATGTAAATAATGGCACCATGAAGCATGTTGGGGGTGGAAACTTTTAGGCTACTTCTTTTTCATGATACTTTTAGTACATAGTAAAATTAAAAACAACAAAGATTACAAAACTGGTCGTACTTCCATTGTTTATTTTAAACAACACTGTAAACACAGTACCTGTGTCTCTTGGGGTGATCTGATTAAAAGTCTGAAGTTAAGACTGGAAAAGCACACCATCATTCCACACCTACTACAATGCTGCAGTAGCTGCTAGGGCTGAGGTAACAAAATGCCATAGACTGGGTGGCTTAAATAATAGAAATTTGTTTTCTCACAGTTGAGGAGGCTGGATGTCCAAGATCAAGGTTTTGGCAGGCTTGGTTTTCCTAATCTTCTCTTACTGTGTCTGCAAATGGCCTTTTCCTCTATGCTTATACACCCCGGGTATCTCTTCCTTCTCATAAGGATTTCAATCATATTGGGTTAGGGTCTTACCCTTGTGACCTCACTTAACTTTAGTTATTTACACAGAAATTCCAACTCATCTCCAAATACAGTCACACTGTCAATTAGGGCTTTCACATACGAAATTGGAGAGGCACAGTCAAGTACATGATAGACTTTAAAAAAAAAAAAGTTAGTAAGAAGATTTGGTGAAGTGTGGAGAAATTATAACCCTCATACACTGCTGGGAGGATGGTAAAATGGGACAACAACTTTGGAAAACAGCCTGTCAGCTTTTCAAGAGATTAAACACAGAATTATGATATGAACCAGAAATTTCACTCTTATGCATATACTTAAAAGAAGTGAAAACATGTCTATTAAAAAAACTTATACATGAATATTCATCCTACAATGTAGATGAAGCTTAAAAACACTATGTTAAGTGAAAGAAGTCAGTCATAAAAGGTCATATGTTGGGGCCAGCGCTGTGGCGTAGTGTGTTAACGCCCTGGTCTGGGGCACCGGCATCTTAGATGGGCGCCAGTTCGAGACCCAGCTGCCCCACTTCCGATCTGGCTCTCTGCAATGGCCTGGGAGAACGGTGATAGTTGGCCCAAGTCCTTGGGCCCCTGTGCCTACGTGGGAGACCCGGAGGAAGCTCCTGGCTCTTGGCTTTGGATTGGCAGAGCTCTGGCCATTGTGGCTAGCTGGGGAGTGAACAGCGGATGGAGGACCTCTCTCTCTCTGCCTCTCCTCTCTCTGTGTAACTCTGATTTTCAAGTAAATAAATAAATCTTAAAAAAGAGTAGCAATATTACTATTAGATAAAAACATTATGCTTATAATAAGAGAATAAAGACTGAGCACATTTAAATGTAAGAAACTATAAATGAAAGTCACAAGCAAAGTCTGAAGCAGCGCTAGTGTTCCATGGAATACTCATTTGTGAAATGCTGGCATGGGTAAATCTTTGGTGTATATACCCAAAAACAAATGAAAATATATTAATATGGAGCACCTAGAATAAAAATAAGATTTAACAGAGATATGGATGAGGTTAAAACAAGAGAAGTTTATGTAAGTTTCATATTTAAAATTTAGAAAATATACTTAAAATGTAATTTTTGTGAAAAATATGCATTCTTCAATTTTTTCAGAAAGAGGAAGAAAAATTAATAATCTAATACATGAGTGTAAATATTTATGATTAAGTCCCCCCATTATGTAGACCCAGGCACAAGTACAGTCAAATCTATCACGTGTTCTTGGAACACAAGAGCTTCCTAACTTCCCGAGCCCTCACCTCTATCAACTCTCTCCAGGATTCCACAACTT